AATGGCCCATTTACAGATGATTTTCCCAGCTAGAAACCTCCATTTATATCCATTTATAGTGGATTTTCCGTGGCTACGTTAAATAACCAGAGGGTGTATATATATATATATCATATACAGTAATATGAAACTATATTAAATCCATTAAACATTGGTTATTTTCAGGGTCTATTTTAAATAACCAGTAACTACCCGGTAAGTCTTCGTATCACTTCACTCCATCACCGCGCCTCGGCCACGACTCGTACGACCGCCACGACCACGGCCCTGAGCCATCTGATGCAGTGTGAACTCAGGGTTCACATGGTCATATAATAGTTAATATGACCTATGTAATAATATTATTGAATAATAGTTCACATTAATAACATAGTTAATATTAATATTCACATGGTCAATAATATTCAATAATAGTTAATAATCCATGTATGCTAATAGTAGTTAATAATAGTTAATAATAGTTAATAATAGTTAATAATAGTCAATATTCAATAATAGTTAATAATCCCAGATGCTCCATGGTGCTGGAATATGTACCTACATTTTTTGGGCCATTTTGGGGTAAATGTAAGTAAATATTCCATACATGGAGCATGTGGGAATAGTTAGTAATTATTACAGTAATAATATGTAATAATAATAGTTAATGATAGTTCACAATAATTAAATGGTAACTAAGAATACTAATTAGCCAGCTATTAATAGTAGTTAATAATAGTTAGTAGTTTGCTCATTGAAATTTTTATATATGTGGCATACCAACTATTATTAACCATAATGTAATAGTTCATGAATCGTTTTGATATAACTCAAAGATGACTTTATAGTGAAAAATGATTGTTAATAATAGTTAATAGTTGGTATATCACCAACAATCATAGATCAAGAATGGATATAAATGAAATCATGTGGGGCCAACAGCTACCACGACCGGGGAAATCGCACCCATGAAAATGGTGATGACTTGGGTTTCCCACAGCCAATGCGCGTTCCATACAAAAGACACGCACAAACACGTGGAGAACGAGTCGTATATGTATAGCCTATAGGACAATGCATGAAAGACATTTTCAGGCCATCCCTGCCCTCCTATCAAAAATGAGGATTGCATTGTGCATTGCATGTGTAGCTGGCCTTTCTGAGGATGTGTGCCCAAATGCAATGGATTGGATTTTGAATGATTTTGACCTACCGGCGGTTGAAACTCTCATATGGAAATCCAATAAATGTGAAGATTGGATTGTCATTGTGGCTTGACCATAACCAGAGCAGGTTTCTTTTTAATACAGCCATTTTTCTCAGCAATTCTCATGAGTTGTTCCAAAACATCGGATCGTCTTCATTCATCATGTTTCACCTGAGACATTGTTTCTAACCCCGTCAGATTGGGTGCCTTGGTTGTCACTTGCTTTCTGACTCGGAAATCATTCGAAAATTATGACTGTCTACATCTCTGTAAGACTGCGCAGTCAAAACCCAAAGAGTTCATATTTATAATGTGTTGTTATATAATTATATATATATTATAACTATAAAGTACATATTATATTATATATATGTATATATTCATGGTGAATCTTAGATACCTGCCAAACAATCTCAGCTGGACAATAAATTTTACGATAGCAAACGATTTTAAAATGTCACAGTCTCCAATCTCCAAGGTTAACCCAGGTTGAAGTCTGGAGCCGCTTTGCCAAACCTGAGTTGGTGGCTATATTGAGCCATATTGATGGGAATCATCAATTCATGTTCATAGGATTTTTACAATAATATACCCATTAAGAATATGTATTCCCATGATATACCGTACGTTTTGACTCTGGCATATGAAAAAAAGAGCATATCATATACATGAACCGCCAGAAAAAATACGTTGCTATTGCTGCCTCCATGGGGAACATTATGGAAAAACCTCTGGGGAAAGTCAGAATTCGTAAGAATTCGAACTTACGTATATGAAAGCAGAAAAACCAGCCGCGCAAATGATGACCCAGCATTGTGCCTGCAGAGTTCCTTCCTCTTTCTTTGCCTCTCTTTTCTCCTGGACAGTTTCCCACCAGCGACTGATGGCTTCACTATGCAAAAATAGATTGGGATGCCATGGGTCACCTGATGTTTTTTTGTGAAAGGACTAGTCACAAGATGCGTGAAAGATGGTGGACGTGATGTAATTATCCTTCTTCTCGTCTTTGTCCTTCTTCGCACTCTTTTCTTTTTTCTCCTGTTTGTTCATTTCCCCAATCGCATATGAGTCCGTCATGTGACTGGCAATCACGAGTCCAAAGGCAACAACATTGAAGCTACCACGCAACATGTGTACACTTACATAGACCTTGCATCAGCCATCCAGATTCCTTCTTTGCCTTTTCTGATTGTTCCTTCTTCTCCTTCTTTGGTTTCTTGTCGCCTCCGCGCCAAAGTCCATGCAACACTCAGTTGCAAACGTTTCTAAGTACTTTATCTTATCTATGTTTTCAATGTTTCATCACTGGAACATTCAGAGTGCACATTGAGATCTTGATGCACTTCAGCAGGAACACCCAACCACTTGGCCAATGGTTTAGGCCCAGATATTGAGAAAAAAACCCTTAGACCTCCAAAAACCTCCAGCTAAACTTATCCGAGATTTCATCGCTTCTCACCATCTGAACATCTTCGATGATTTCTAAAAATGGGGGATCCCATAAGAAAACCTTGACTTCACCACCTAAAGCCAATCCCTCTAAAGCCCAATCTGGTTTTACTTGTTTTCACCACCAAAACTCTGCCTTTTTGGGATGTTTCATCCCCAAGCAATCCGAATCGCACTCAGCTGTGCTTGGCACAGTTCAAAAAAAAACTGGATCACCCTAGAAATCGGGGACTCATTCACCAGGGGTATCAACCGTTACGACTACCCCAAAAAAACTCAAATGATTCCCTTTTCCGATGTCCCAAGGATTCCGTAGTGGATTTTCAGCAAAATATCATTGGGAAAATTGGGAAAGATCATGTTCCGATTTCCCAATATTCCAATTTTCCGGTTTTCTGTTTCCATTGGGAAAAAATCCATCAGCAAATCCAACTGGACCAACGAACACATTTTTTCTTCGGCAGTGAAGTGCAGCGCAGCACCTACCAGGGCAGTTAAATTTGGGTGGAGTTCCAGGATGAACATGTAGATAATATATGATATAAAGTGTGCGATATTATGACATATCTGTGATATGTACATACATATTGCATGTCAAAAAGTATCGAACATAGAAAATGTAATGTATATATATATATACCATGCATATACATACTTGTCTTAATAATAATCTTCATTTGTATATATATATTAGGGATCTTGTTCCATAACTTGAAAGGTTGAAAGGATATTATATCTTTCTGCATGATACTGAATGTTACGAGTCGTTACAACATGTCATGATATCTTATAATGTGTGATAAAATGATCGAATATGTTCTAATGCAATATCAACAATAGAGCGTCACCTTTACAATATAGTATATAATGTAAAACAAATCATAACATAACATATAACATTATAATAATATGATATCTCAAAATTTGAAATAAACTAGTACAACATAAGAAAATCATGTATAATGATAGAACAAGAAACAATGGATAAAATATGACATATCAATATAGAGCATGATATAATCTAGCATTACTATCAAGTATGGTAAAGGATCATACAATGGAATATGATGTAAATTGATCCAATGAGTGATCATGATCAAACATATAAGACAATATAATATAGTAATATATAGTATCAAGGAAAAAATCATTTAAAATCATATAAAACATCAATAGAGAGGTCATGAGAGGTCATAATAGCATATGGTAAACTAACATTGCTATTGAAAATGGCCAGCTATAGTTTGTTTACCTTTTAAAACTGGTGATTTTCTTAAAGCTTCATGAAACATCATTAAACACAGTTAAACACCATTAAACACCATTAAACATCATTAAACGCCATAAACCACCCATTTATCCACATCCATCTTGTGGCTACCCAATCTCCCTGCCACAGCAGGGCACCGGGCTAGCTGTCCAGCAGCGACGGAGATGGCGCCATGGCAGCTGCTTCGGCTTGTGCTTCTGCGTTGCGCACCTGTCATGCCAGCGTTGCGGTGCTGAAATTCTGGTTTGGTTCGCACTAGCTTCACGTGTATGTGTATATATATATATATGTATTTATCTATATGTATGTTATTATCATTACTATTATTGTCATTACTATTATTGGTTATTGTTATTCTCATTACTACCAGTAGTCCCGCACAAGGCGGTGGCGGAAATTTCAACAATAGGAAACCTATAGGAGAGGTTGGTTGTTGTGAATCAGGGATGGCAGAGCGAAGCCACTGATGGACCGAAAGGTGGTTGAGGTCTCCTCTCTTTCTCTCTCTTTCTCTGACTATCTACCTACCTACCTACCTACCTATCTATCTATCTATCTATCTATGTATGTATCTATGCATTTATCTATCTATCTATCTATCTATCTATCCATCTATCTATCTAAATCTATCTATCTATCTATCCATCTATCTATCTATCGATCGATCTATATCTCTCTCTCTCTCATCTAACTACCTTTCGATCGATGTATCTATCTATCTATCTACCTATCTATCTATCTTTCTATCTATCTATCTCTCTCTCTCTCTTTCATCTGTCTATCTGTCTAGCTGTCTACCTGTCTATCTGTCTATCTATCTATCTGTCTATCTGTCTACCTGTCTATCTGTGGTGCAGTGTCATTCAGTGTACTGTAGTGTAGTGTAGTGGAGTGTAGTGGAATGTAGTGTAATGTAGTGTAATGTAGTGTAGTGTAATTTAGTGTAGTGGAGTGTAGTGGAGTGTAGTTGTAGTTGTAGCTGTAGTCTAGTTGAGTGTAGTGTAGTGTAATGTAGTGAAGTGTAGTGGAAGGTAGTGTAGTGTAATGTAGTGTAGTGTAGTTCAGTGGAGTGTAGTGGAGTGTAGTGTAGTTGTAGTTGTAGTTGTAGTGTAGTGGAGTGAAGTGTAGCGCAGTGAAGTGTAGTGGAAGGTAGTGTAGTGTAGTGTAGTGTAGTGTAGGGTAGGGTAGTGTAGTGTAGTGTAGTGTGGTGTAGTGTAGTGTAGTGGAGTGTAGTGTAGCGGAGTGTACTGGAATGTAGTGTAGTGTAGTGTAATGTAGTGTAATTTAGTGTAGTGGAGTGTAGTGGAGTGTAGTTGCAGTTGTAGTTGTAGTGTAGTTGAGTGTAGTGTAGTGTAATGTAGTGAAGTGCAGTGGAAGGTAGTGTAGTGTAATGTAGTGTAGTGTAGTGTAGTGGAGTGTAGTGTAGTGTTATGTAGTGTAGCGTAATTGAGTGTAATTGAGTGAAGTGTAGTGTTATGTAGTGTAGCGTAATTGAGTGTAATTGAGTGTAGTGTAGGGGACTGTAGTGGGTGTAGTGGAGTGCAATATACTGGAATGTAGTGAAGGTGTAGTTGTAGTTGTAGTTGTGGTGTAGTGTATTGGAGTGTAGTGTGGTGTAGTGGTGGTTGTAGTTGAAAATGCCACAAAACCCTCACATTTTTCTCACTTTTGACAAGGTGCACAATCCCTTGCGCCTGCCACGCGAAACGAGCATGTCCAAAAGTGGTCCGAACGTGGTGTGCTTTGTACATTTTGACTTCGAAATGTGCTTCGCGCCACAACGGTGTGCACTTTTTCGACATCTCAACTTCCAAAAGTGGTCCGAACCTGGTGCGTTTTGTACAGTACATTTTGAGTTGGAAATGTGCTTCGCGCCACAACGGCTTTTTCGACATCTCAACTTCCAACAGCGGTCCGAGAATAGTGTGTTTTGTACATTTTGACTTGGAAATGTGCTTCGCGCCACAACGGCGTGCGCTTTTTTGACATCTCAACTTCCAAGAGTGGTCCGAGCATGGTGTGCTTTGCACATTTTGACTTCGAAATGTGCTTCGCGCCACAACGGCGTGCAATTTTTCATCTCTCATCTGGCCAGCTGGCTCCGCACCCGCCGCTTTAGCGAGCCTACTTTTCGACCCTCCGGAGCCTCAAATCATTGGAAAACACAGTGTTTCGCGACTGTCCTACCTTTTCGCGCATCTGCATCTTCTTTCTTCTGACTCTTTCTCTTCTATCATCTGCTCTCTTCTGCTCTTCTCTTCTCTCTGCCTCTTCCCATCTCTGCTTTTCATCTGTCCATATTGTCGAAAATTTGACTTCTAAACTTCCTTCGATTATTACTATTGCTATTATTATTGTTACTCTTCTTATTCATTATTCATTATTGTATATTATGTATATATATCTATCATTATATACATATCTATATTGTAAATTGCATCTTATCCGTGTGTGTCCTTTCTCTGATGTGTAAAAATATCCTGGCAGGTGGGTGTCGTTTGACAGTTGCTGGAAATCACTTGAAGTAAACAAACCCTGAAAAATGTGAAATGTATATAACCATATATAGGAATTCACATATATGATATATATATATATATTGATTTTACATATCATTATATGATATATGATGTGATATTTTGGACCTTTCTATATATATATATGTGATATTTATTGATTTGTAAAAATGTACACATACTTGGTGGCTCATCCCACTTACTATATAAGTAGCTGGATAATCCAGGGGGATCGGATAAGTAGGGTTAATCCAGTTACAACTAGGGTGAACTAACTACTTACTACGTGGGATGAGCCACCAATCATATATAAGTGGTAGCTACTTAGAAAGTGGGATGAGCTACTTAGTACGTGGGATAAGCTACTTAGCAAGTGGGATATATAGATATGTAGGTGTCCTAAAATGCGGGAACCAAAAGTCGCCATGGGTTTCAATACTATGTCATGGTCAGCCATGACATGGATGATTTGGGGTACCCCGGTTTTAGGAAAACACCACAGACAGACATAACATACATTCCGGAAATATGTACAGGTGCACATGTACCAATACATCCTGGCAGGTATATATTCATAATCAGCATATAGTATATATATAATGTATCTACAAACAAAATTCTAATACTATAATACTATAGGGAAATCTTTATATATATATGTATAATCAGAATCAGAATCATACGATGATCAATAAATATCTAATGACACTATACTCAACATATATACCCTCCAGTAAATTAACTTGACAACCCTGGCAGATAGGGGTTGGTTCATACTAGTTGCCACTAAAAAAAAAATGTTTTCTGGGTTCAACTGTGAATTTACCAGAGAGTAGATCATATATAAATATTCTAATATCTATCATATCATATTATAGTATCTATCATATATTCGTAAACTTATCATCAGCCTATAATCATCTAAACATACATGATGATTTATATTTGACGATTAGATGATTAGACACTCAAAAAAAGACTTTTTCATATACTTATCATTATCTCGACATCATCTATCTTTGTAAACTTACTCACCATATATATAGATATAACATATTGTAGATTTTATAGATCCATCATGTTACTCTACTTAGATCTATCTTAGTAAAGTAGATCATACAATAGATCTATATAAGATCTATATAGGTTTATATACTTAATTCTATATATATATATTATCTACTTAGTAAGTAGCTATCTAAACTTATCATGTTACTCATGTGGAGTAGTCATATATGGATCTTCTCCTCCCCGGCCCACTGGACCGCCCGTGGCAGCCTTGAAGTCAAGGCCTTGGGCGATCCAAGCAAGAAAGACCTGCGGACCCGTCGGTGATCCAAGCAGCTGAGCAAACATTGCATTTGGCCAGAAAAAAACATGGGGATTTGTATACACGGGATATTATATATATATGCATATTAATGGGATATGATTAAGGTGTGTTTAAGATCATCTATAAGGCTTATTATATTACAAGGGATCTTGTAAGGATTTACAAAGGGTATATTATATACCGGACCGAAAGGAAACGCTTCGTGGTTCATAACCTTATCTTCGAATCTATGCGAACCGATGCGAACCACGGGAACCCTGATATATATATATACATATAATTATATATACATATTTACAATGATGGGATATTATGAAGGGATATTAGTGTAAATATGATACGTATAAATACGTATGGTCCATGGTTGATAAGGGATTGTTTATCTGGTAATGATCTGGGATTATGTTTATAACAAAGATATACCAAGAAACATTTATCAGGGATCCGATGACCAGGGTTCCTGGCCACACTTGCCATCTTGCATTGAAATCAAATGAACATTCAAATTCACAGGATGTTACAAGGATTTGTAAGGGATATCAGTTGGACATCATTCAGGGATACCCTCTGGTAAACTGTCCCATAACTATGGAAAATCATCACCATGCTATTCATAGGAAAAATTCACGACATTTCTATTAGGTGATTTTCCATAGAAAAATGTTCGTCATTACCAGAGGGATACCCTTCATGGAATAAAAGATTCGGGAAATCCCAGCCACTCGCCATGGGCGGAAAAAAACCTAAAAGCAGGCCATGCGACTCCCATTCCGCCCTTTAAGGTAATTCGACATTGGTTTAACTATGTTTAACTACAGATATATAGATGATGGTTTATAATCATTTATATCTTATCAAACTTTATCTTTATTTAAATGTTTTTTTTGAAAATGTCCATTTATAATCAATTTATCATCATTTACAGATGATTTTCCAGTCAAACATGGTGAGTTTCAATGGCAAACTGCACCTGTGCATCCTCCTCCTCCATTTTGAATCGCTGCGCTACACGTTTCGCCGTGACCTCCCACCTGCGAAACAGCTCCCGAAACAAAGGCGAGGGATCCCCGAAATGGGAATGAACAAAATGCCATTGGAAATCCTTCAAAAATAGTGGTTTGAATGCAAAAATCTGGGAAAATCCTCCAAAAATAATGGTTTGAATGCGAAAATATGGGAACATCCCCTCAAAATAGTGGTTTGAATTGGGGAAAATAGATTGAAATACATGTCTGGATTTTCCTTGACATGTTTGATTACCTGAAGGTATTTGAGAGCCGCTTTGCAAATGTAAATTTGTGCAGACTTCGATAGAAACTGCTAGTTTTGAACAAGTGATGGCGTGTTTTTTACGTTCATATCCGATATTATCCGATAATCTGCATCTCTTGTGGGCGGCTGAATCGGCTTGTTTTTTTCTGTTTGAACAGCTCTATTTGCAAAATCCCCCGGCCCAAAACTATCCATGGAACTTGGCCCAAAAAAACAGAACTGTGCAGAGTCCAGCTGGAAAATTATCTCTTCAAGAAGCTCATGTGGGGATGCATCAAAACTTTATGAAATCTGATAACTTTTTTTGGCTCATCCTAATAACTTCAGCCGTGTCACTCTCCGGAAGTGAGCCAATCTGCCACCTGCGGACGACTTCAACAGAGGGTCCAGCGCTGGACCTTCCCGACTTAAAGCCCTCTAAAGCAACAGTAGAAACATCAACAAATGATTTGTGATGTGTAAGGTCAATCATGTTAACTGGCCTGTTGTTCGATGATTGTTGATTATTTGTTTTTCTCTTGGCTTGGATGATGTTGCATTTCAAAAAACGACATGTAGGCATCATCTTACACTTGATCCATACCGTATCCATACCTATCCCCCAAGTAACGAACTCAATATGCTCAGCTGAGTTTAATTACACAAGATACGCATGGTCAAAAATTATCGTACTATCACAAAAAACTTGACCCCATTAGACCAACAACGAAAGCTCGGTCAGAGGAAAGGTTGCGTTCACGAGAAGGGTTTGATAATGGATTGATGTCATAGAATCATATAGATTTCATATAGAATCAACAAATGATGCCACATTATAAGTTAACAAACAACAGCAAGGACACCAGCAGCCATATCAGCCCAGGAATTGATGCATCCAAAAAGATTAGAGTATACGATGGGCATCGACGTCAACAACAATTAGAACACAGAGGTCTCCAGCCTTCTATGAGTACGTAACTCACCAATATATTTCTTAGCCCTTCAATCCAAACCCATATATTCATTGGGTCTATTCATTCTGGGGGCCCTAGCCTAAAGTGGGGCAGTGGGGGGGGTTAACCGGTTACTTAATATGATCGGGGAAAAACAAAGCCACCACTAATAAGTGGAACTGCACCCCTGCCTCCCCTGCAGCGTCTCCGTCTCTCAAGTCGTACTTGTCGCAAATCTCATCGAAGCGTTCCTGCCAAAGCCATGGCAACTGTTGACCAATGCTGTGTCAATATGTTGGCCGACCCAAAAATTGACCAAGTTCATTATCACTTCATTGCAAACAAATATGATATCATTATTATTCATGATTATTCATGATTATTCATGATTATTCGTGATTATTCATGATTATTCATGATTATTCATGATTATTCATGATTATCCATGATTATTCATGATTATTCATGATTATTCATGATTATCCATGATTATTCATGATTATTCATGATTATTCATGATTATTCATGATTGCCAGTGATGAATTTCTGGATTGCAGATCTCTCCAAAAAAAATCACCAAACGGCCGCAAAAGGGGCCGCCTTGACATTCGTCATGGCCATCCCCACCTGAGTGGTGATATGGGATTCATGACTGGGCCCCATTTGTTTCAGGTCGCAAGTGGTGATATGGGAAATGTATTTATAATCAGTCTGGTTTATATGTTTTTATATGTTTTCATATGGTTTTATATGTTTTTAAATGCTCCAATAGTGAAATAGTGGACATGTATGGATCTACCCTCTCGCCACACGTGGCCATGGAACCCCATGACTTGCCATCCCAGCATCCCCATCCTCAACATCAAGGGATGAAGTCAGGATGTATACAAATAAAATACATAAGATATTCATTGGCAAAAATAAAGAATATATATATATGTTATATTGACATACATATTGTGACGATCCTATCTATGTAAACATCTTTCGTGTTTTTTTCTGGTTATCTCTGTATGTGTAGAGATTTACATGTGACAATCTTCCCTCCTCTAGATATAGCTCATGATAGACTTTTTGATTGGTGTGTACAACAAATACACCCAAAAAAAACTTGTCATTCTAGTCATAGTCTGAGATTCTTCTCAGAAGCCATGGACTGACAATATGGGCAGTCTTGCCCTGGTCTTACCCATCGTTGTCAGGACCCCTGTCGGTTGAATCCATGTGAAAGTGGGCTCAGAAACCAATTACTGTACCCTTCAAAAAAGAAACCAATCGGTCTGCAAAACCTTTTTGCTACCAATATTCATCCTGAAAATGATAATAGTGTTACTGATCATGGTAACTTTGAAATTGCCAAACATTTCGCGGGTCTCGGATAGATACTGCTAGATGTCCTGGCTAAAAAGAAAACGGTTGTTTTCTGTGACGTGCTTGGGAAACTCCAAACGTAGCTCCCTGGCTCGCTCCCTCCAGGGATGCTGACTGGATCATCAGCTTTGTCTTCCTCCTCTTGCTTTGTCAAACGTTCGACGTTGGCCTAGTTTCCGCTGCGGTGGTGCCCTCTGGAACTCTGCCAAAAACATGGCGAAGTCACAGTTTTGACAGATATTGATATTGATGTAATATCATGTCATATAATGTAATTAATAAGCTTACTTTTTTGTTGTCAACGCTTTCTGATTGGTAGATAATTGAAGATACGATGATTGGCAATCAAATTGTTGTATATATTGCTTTGTAAAGATGTTGTTCCCATTCAGCAAAATGATCATGTAAATCAAGAAAATAGCCGAAGTCTGAATACCAACATATTCTAAAGCCCTTGCGACTAGAAAATCAGCTAGATCATCCCCCACGTGGCACGTGGGTTTAGGCTTCGTGCCAAAATGGAGCCTCGTCAAATGGCAAATCTAATGGACTTGCTACCAAGCTTGGACACCTTTGGATACTCGTGGAGCGTGAGGATGATGTTTGGATTTATATCAGAGATCAAAGGCAAAAATAGTGAGAATCTACCGGATGTTAGGAAAACACGACGGTTATGGCTCGAAATACCACTTACTCTCCAGTACTCTGACTTGGACGCTGAAAATTGAGAAAATGGACGCACGTACTATGTTAGTGGTTTTTCTTACTTTTTCCAGTGCTGGAAGCGTCCATGTTAGTGTGACACATGTCACAGGCCCACTAACATGGACACTCAAACAGACTTTTTTGAACAGTATTCAGCTAACATGGACGCCGTAAGAAGCCAAAAATCTTACTATGAATGTCCTATTAAGAGATAACCGTATTCATGAAATGATCACCCCCAATGAAGTAACCATCTACAACTATCTACAACTGGTAACCTGGTATTTTGGGCTCTTTAAACGTCTTTAAGCTTCAGTTATACAGTTATACCATTTATACCATATACAACTATCTATTTATGGAAGTGTCACCATCGGTAAGTTCAAGGCTCATGCAGGTGCTGTCTTGATCCCTGGCCTGTTTCTCTTTCAGCGCTGCTTCCCGCTGATCCAAAGTCTCAATGGAAAGACCTTGAAGCCTCCACAGATCCACGGCCCCATGTTATTATCGCTAAGATCTTATAATTTTTGAATTATTCCATGTCATTCCACTCTAGTTTTCTTTGTTCCCTATATCCTGATACAAGAGTCAATAGATTCCCGCCCATAATCGATAACTGTGTGTTGTTCCCTAAAGTTTCCTTTATCATCCTATGAGAAATGCTGGCTTTCACAACGCCAGATGACCCTCTGGTAACATAACTTATGGAAAATCACCATGTTTAATGGGTAAATCAACTATAAATTGCCATTTTCAATAGGTATGTTAGTTTACCAGAAGGTACCTTTACTGGTAACGGTATCAACTGTATGTACGACGTTAAGGGTATATACGGTATGTATGCGTGTATATTATATACACACATATTCACTTGACATGTGTGATACAGTATACAATGTAACAATTCTGTACAAAGTTTGCTTTTGTAAAATCCCAACAAAAGCCAGTTCACGAGTTAGACTTATGATAATCCACAATGATTTCCTGACCTAATCATCAACCAACCCTCATTTACGGTTCATATCCATTGATATCCCCACATGTTTGATGGTTAAACATCTCAAAACTCGATAAATCATGGAATCCAATGTTTTCCCATGTTTCCCCATTTCTTCCGATATGTTTCCTATGTTCTTTCCATATCCTCCCATATTTTCCCATAGTTTCCCCATGTTTTGCCATACTTTTCCATGGTGAAATCACCTTCCCCACACCGCCGGGATCCCGGTGGAGAATCGCCTTCGAAGGGCCTGGAGATCCAGTAGGGCGGCTTGGTAGGAATGGATCGCCTCAAAAGCCAGGCCTCGGATGGACACACAGATTGCTGTACATCAATCAATATATATATATAAATAAACAGAGATAGATAGATAGATAGATAGATAGCTAGATAGCTAGATAGATAGATAGCTAGATAGATAGATAGGTAGATAGGTAGATAGGTAGATAGGTAGATAGGTAGATAGATAGATTAGATAGATTAGATTAGATTAGATTAGCTTAGCTTAGCTTAGCTTAGCTTAGATTAGATTAGATTAGATTAGATTAGATTGATTGATAGATAGATAGGTAGATAGGTAGATAGGTAGATAGGTAGATAGGTAGATAGGTAGATAGGTAGATAGGTAGATAGTTAGTAGTTACTAAGAAATCGTTTATTTTTCCCACAAACAATGAATTTCCAGTTCGTTATGTAACAGTCAGTTTACTCATAGCTTATTCCATCGAGGTTGTTACTCATGTAAAAATTCTGATTTCCATTGTTATTTCCATAGTTATGTAACAGTTCTGTAACAGTTATGTACAACCAATGACTACAACCGTCGCGTCGCGTCGCGTCGCGTCGCGCATCTCTGGGTGTTACCAACTCCGCCTGTGCAGCGCCTTCAGGTGGTCTGGATCCAACCTCGGACGACGATGATTTGGGGTAGATGATTTTAGGCAACTTCCATGGATTGCATATTGTATATATAATTGTACATATATAAATATGTACATACATACATATATATATATATATAATAAATGATTATATATGTATGTGGGGATTCTAGTGGTATGAAATGGGAGCATGCTGAAGGATATTATCAGATTTAATTACTGTAAAACAAGGTTGTCCGAGCTATCTCTCGAATTATCAACCTGAGGGATGTTGACAAATCATCAAGTAATCATTGCACATGCATTGCCACCTTTTGTAGGCAGCTTTGAAAACCTGCGTGCTAGTGCTGACTCTATTTTGAAGCCAGGGAATGACAGTGGCTTAGAGCTGCACTTGAGAGCATAGTGGCCACGCCAATGAAAGGGCATATACAGCAGCTTGCTTCATTGGAATCCAGACGAACTGACAGACTGGCTATCAAAGAAAAATATAGTATATGATTCTTGGCGCAAATGATGTTTTTCTTAAGAGACTTTCAGCTTACTGATGTGAGCTGGTACAACCAGCTCAAACCGATCTGCGGAAGCTCGACAGGCTAGGAAGGGCTCAACAGATATAAAAGTATTAATAAAAGTATTGAAGCTTAGGAAGATTCCATTGAAGGCTTAGGAAGAGAACCCCATGAAGCTCTGGAGGATCCCTCCCAGCCGAGCGTATGTCTCGCCAGGTGTCTACCCTTCATGTTCGGAAGGAAAAATTGTTTTCTTATATGTATTATGTGTGTGTGTTTTCTAAAGGGAACTGTTTTTTGCATATGTTTAAACCGAAAACTGTTTGCGGGGCACACTTCAAAAGAAAATATGTTTTGCACATGTTTGAAGGAAAACATGTTTCTCATTGTTTCACAAGATAGAAAGATGCGAATCACATGTTGCACAGCTAAAAGACTCATTACTTTTACAATTACGCGTGTAAGAAGAAACAAGAAAATGCTCAGAAAATATCAAAAAAATATCACAACTTAAGTTGTTTGCAATGTGTTTCAGCCTCCTCTCAAAAACAGTAACCAGTGTGTGTGTGTGATGTCATGTGGGCCTTTGTAGCGTTTTTTAGCTGATTTTCTTCTCTTTACAGTTTTTTTTGCGTAATTAATGGTTTTACTTAGACCAAACGTCAGACTATATGTCAGATTTGATTTCAGAATATATGGGGGTTTCTTGAAATGGGGGTCACCAAGTCACAATGGGTTTCAATATTACAATAGTTTAATTTAGGATGATTTGGGGGTACGAACCCAAATTTTTGGGACCCCCCCGTATGTCAGAATTTGCACCTGGGTTTATGTCCCAACATACGTAGGTCAGAATACAGGGCGGCTTCCAACTGCCCAGATACAAGAGGAAAACTTAGCTCAGTGAAGGAGGTAGACTGCAATCATTTACCGTTGGGGTAACCCGGATGTATGTCAGACTTTGTCAGACTACATGTCAGACTATATGTCAGGCTACATGTCAGAGTGCATGTCAGGATGGATGAACACAGTTCAGACTATATTTCTGAATATCTGTCAGGATAAATGTTAGACTACGAAGCTATGTCAGAAGAAATGTCAAGACACATCAATGCCTGCCAGCATTTGTGTCAGAATGTTGATATTTCGGCGGGGATCGCACGAAGTGAAGGAATTTGGAAAGACAAGAACCCCACGACCAAGCCACTTGAGGCACGAGTCTGCTGCTTCAATGGCCCTGCGGTAAAGCTCTTGGCTCAAGAAACACCTTGGCAGAGGACCCGGAAAAGTGGAAGCCAACCGTAAACAGGCCTGGTTGAAAACATCTCCGGGCGAATGTGTATTAAAAAAAACTATCAGATAATGTGTGTTTCAATGATACTATTTCCGTCGTATATTGCCTGAATATACATATATAATCGAAGGAAGTTTAGAAGTCAAACTTCCGACAATATGGACAGATGAAAAGCAGAGATGGGAAGAGTCAGAGAAGAGAAGAGAAGAAGAAAGAGAAAGTCTCAGAAGAAAGAAGATCCAGGTGCACGAAAAGGTAGGAAAGTCGCGAAACTTTGTGTTTTTCCAAAGATTTGTCGCTCCGGAGGGTCGAAAAGTAGGCTCGCTAAAGCGGCGGGTGCGGAGCCAGCTGGCCAGATGAGAGATAAAAAAATTGTTCGCTGTTGTGGCGCGAAGCACATTTCGAAGTCAAAATGTACAAAGCACACCAGGTTCGGACCACTTTTGGAAGTTGAGAGTTGAAATGTCGAAAAAGTGCACGCCGTTGTGAAGCACATTTCGAAGTCAAAAGTGCAAAAAACTGAGGGGTTCGGAGCACTTTTGGACGTTGAGATGTCGTTTTGCGTGGCAGGCGCAAGGGATTGTGCACCTTGTCAAAAGTGAGCAAAACGTGACTTAAACGTGAGGGTTTGTAGCATTTCCAAAAACGATGGCAGGCGTGGGACATTTGAAGAGGATCTGCAAAGATCTGCAAAAATGCATTTTCCGTGGCAGGCCCAGTACAAGAGACATGTTCATCAGAGCTGTTAGGAGGTCCGGGCGCTGATTTCCTGAGAGAGGTTGCATTTTGGAGCATCAGATCTTCAGGTTTGCTGAGATGATTTTGCGTGACAGGCGCAGCACTTCGTATGACCTGGCATCACTTTTTCGTGGCAAGCGCAATAGTTTAGACAGATGGAGTGGAAAAATCGCAAAACGCATTGGTACGAGGCCAACAGCTCTGCACTCAATTTTCTATTTTTGAAGGACGTCTCGCAGAATTGCTTTGTTTTTGATGTTGTCAACTTCGGAAATTGAGGAAGTCTCGCAGAATTGCTTTGTTTTTGATGTTGTCAAGTTCAAAACTTGAGGAAGTCTCGCAGAATTGTTTCGTTTTTTGATGTTGTCAAGTTCAAAAATTAAGGAAGTCTCGCAGAATTGTTTCGTTTTTGATGTTGTCAAGTTCAAAAATTGAGGAAGTCTCGCAGAATTGCTGCGTTTTCAAGCTTACAGTTAGACAGCAGACAGACAGACAGACAGACAGACAGATAGGTAGATAGACAGATAGCAATTACAACTACAACTACAACAACTACAACTACAACTACCACTACACTACACTACTGCTACAACTACAAATACAAATATACTACGCTACCATTACACTACACTAATTACACTGCACTACACTCATTACATCTCATTACATCTCATTACATCTACTTGCGCTGCACTACACCAATTACACTAACAACTACAACAACCATTACTACCACAACGACAACTACAATTGCAACTACACTACACGACACTAATTACACTGCAGCACACTACAACTACAATTACAACTACAACTACAACCACACTACATTACACAACACTACGCTACACTGATTACATTGCATTACACTACAACTACAACTGCAGATGCAATTGCAACTACTGCTACAACTACCACAACATTACACTACACTACACTACACTACACTACACTACACATACTACACTACACTGCACTACACTGCACTACACTACACTACACTACACTACACTGCACTGCACTACACTGCACTACACTACACATACTACACTACACATACTACACTACACTACACTACATTATACTACACTACAATACACTAATTACACTGCACTACACTACAACTACAAGACTTCAATATACCACACTACACTATACAACACTACACGACATTACGCTGCACTACACTACACTAATTACACCACACCACGACTACAACTGCAACTGCACTTGCAAATACACTAATCACACTACATTACAGCTACAGCTCCACTACACTACAACTACAGCTACGACTGCAACTACAACTACAACTGCACTACACCACACTACATCCAGCAGTTGTGGGTGAGGTGACCGACCAGGTGACCACTGCAACCATTGCAACCACTCCAAAAAACACAGCTCCAACCACCTGTCGGTCCATCAGTGGATTCGCTCTGCCATCCGTGAGTCACAACAACCAACCTCTCCTATAGGCTTCCTATTTTTGAAACTTCCGCCACAGCCTTGTGCGGTACTACTGGTGTATATATATATATATACATGTATTTATGTAGTATGTAACCCCTTCACATTGACATAGTATGAACGAAATACCAACAAATACCAGCTGAAGGTGGTTTCAACCATTTTCAACCCATCACAATTCAAAACCCAAATAGCCAATAGTTAAAACATGTTAAAACCACCCACGAAGCCAAGATAAGCTACAAATGCTTGAGAGAACTCTGGCTTTCACATCATGATTTCGCCAAAAAAGGGTCATCTTCCTACAGCAAGGTTTCAACATCTGAAAATGCTGTGATGACGGCATGATGGTGATATTCTTGGACATACCTGAATCATGGACCATTTAAGGACACAAGCCATGGCAAGCCTTTCCGATATTTTTCCACTGGTTCACTGCGAGCACTAGATGCTGTAGTGATGCGCTCCGCCCCGCGGTATTGGCTTGCCCTTTCGCTTAGCCGCCACCGTGGGCCGTTTGGAGCAGAACGAACAAGAGCGGCAAATCGGCTGCTTGCGGCTCCAGCACCGGCAAACTAGACCCGTTCTGGACATGGATGCTTCAACATGACTTAGAAGATCTGAAAGGAGATATTCCTGTGGTTTGAAAGAGGTAGCATTGCGCGGCGCAGAAATTTAATCTGTCTATCAAAAGTTCGCAAATAGCTAGACTACTAGATCTGCACTTGATCGACAAGCTTCAAGCAGGGGCTTGGAAAAGCGACCGGAAGGCCTTTCGCCATGGAAGAGTCTCATCCGGCGTAATGACCCCATTGCAAGTCGAGGTTCAAGCGAGATGACAACCGTATGTCATTCTGACACACGAAAAGTTGAAACCAGTTGAAACCAGCGAGCAAACATGTCATACAACGCTTCTGAATCTTCCGGAGATCCTAGACATCTCTCCCGGAGCGGGGCTCCAAGCTTTGCAGTTTCCCACCGATGATTTAACGACAGTGGCAACGTGCAAACGAAAATAGACTGAAGCCTCTGCTCCAATCTGAATTCGGGAAAAAGGAGAGTGCTGAAGAGTACCCCGACTCCTGCAAAATCTGCAAGTAGGGCTAGGAGATGTTGGGAGATGGATATATCTCAAAGCTAGATCTGAACTCATGCAATCCCTGATGAAGAGTTACACTGAAGGACTGGTTCAGGATTGGAGTATCACAATGGTCAGCAATACATGAACCGGACTTTGGTCTCTCGGAAATTAGTCATAAAATAAACCTCCAAGAATCATATGATCACACAAAGAGGCAAGAAAACAGTATAATCAATCATGCCGAGACAGCCGTACTGCCGATCCATCCGTAGGTTCAATCCATCCCAAAAATCATCGAAACTGAGGATTTCACCCACTAAAAAAACACATTTTTCAGGGTGGGAACCATCCCCTGGGATGGAGCCACAACAAAACTTGTTGACAGATTCCCAGCAATCCCAGGTTCACCTCTCCAAATCGTAATAAATAGTTAGTTCATGTTAGTTCCAATAGTTCACGAAAAACTTGGGTTGTCATTTTGAAATCTCATATTGCAATATCCTGAGTAGAAATGATGAAATGGAATCATTACCGAGGCATTTTGTGAAACAACTAACCACTTGAAGTTGTTATAAGTAGCTATGGCCATGGCAATTACCTCTATAAGTTGGGATGTAACCCCTATATAATGGTTACATAAAGACATCCTGGAGTATATAGAATATGGATAGTTCAAAACATGCCTGCGAAAGTTGGAGTAACATTTCAAAATGAAATATTTTTATCTACTTCAGGATGATTGTATGTATGTATAATATATATATATATCGCAACCCCCACAAAAATGCAGAAGTTGATGTTTCCAGGATCGTACTTCGATTATATGTTCAACTATTTACGTCATATTTCCAGGTCTCTAAATTGTCTATCTATTTCGGGGTTGTTATATATATATGTGTGCATATATCCACTTGAGACATTGAGTCATTAAGAAAACCCCTATCAACTCTCATGATCCTAGTTGGTTGATAGATGTCCCTACTATGGGTTAGTTTACAATCCCCAATCATTAGGTAGTATAAGTAATCAACCAGGCTATTCTTGATTGGATTTTTACATATATCTCCAATGGATATTTGTGTGTATATATATGTTTATATATATATGTATATATATATATATGTATACATAGTTCAAAGAAAATTCTCCAGGAAATAAATAGGGGCATATATCTTTGCTTAAAGTCCTGATGAAATCTGATAAATTAAGTGTGTTCCTCCATGTAAAATTGAATAAATTTGAATTTCCATAAATTGCATTTTTGGGGTGAAAAGTGAAAACCACGTTTTTTGGTGAAATTGTGGGCAGAAGTCCAGGAAATTTATGTTTGTATAAATTCTGGTTAAATTTGGATAAATGTTGGTTAAATTTGGATAAACTGGTGTTAAAATGGATTAAGTTCCTGTTATACCCCGATAAATTTGGAAGGATTTCAGGTGGTTGAATTTATCCAGAGTTATTGGATTTTATAAACCCTTCAAAAAAAAAACTGAAGAAAAAATCTCTGAATAGATGTTTAAATGTTCAATAAACTCCCAACTAAGTATCATTTCCCTTTGCTCACATGTGGAGATTTCCAAAGTCATGGGGATACTCCCAGTTATTATATATCCACTTTTGGGGGATTCTCTATTATGAACCATCCATTTTGGGGATCTCCCATTTAACCATATGGATTATTAGC